CTTTCACTACTAAAGGCCCAAGGTTCAATCCCTGGTCGGGGAACTAACATCCCACAAGCTATGTGGTACAGCCAAAAACAAACAAACAAAAGAACCCAATAGACTAGGAAATGGCTGAGTACATCACTCAGGGTGCCTATGGTTTTGTGAGGCCTCAGAAAAGTGTAGTGTACATCTGTAGCTGTGTGTATGCTCTTCCTGTGCGTGCACCAGTGTCTGTATTCATGGTTGTGTACCTGTATGTCTGTGAGCAGGTGGATCTGAGTGTCCTTATCTTTGTGTGAATGTACTTGTATGTCTACAAATGTGTTTGTCTGTATGCTGTGTGTGCCTGTGTGTGTCTCTGGACTTGTACCTTTTAAAATTTTATTTACTTATTTTTGGCTGGGCTGGGTCTGCATTGCTTGAAAAGCTTTTCTCTAGTTGTGGCGAGCGGGCCTACTCTCTTGTTGCAGTGCTCGGGCTTCTTATGGCTTCTTTTCTTGCAGAGCCTGGGCTCTAGGGTGCGCGGGCTTCAGTAGCTGTAGCTTGCGGGCTCTGGAGCACAGACTCAGTAGTTGCAGCACACGGGCTTAGCTGCTCCTTAGCATGTGGGATCTTCCCGGATCAGGGATCGAACCCATGTCTCCTGCATTGGCAGGTGGATTCTTTACCACGGAGTCACTAGGGAAGCCCCTGGATTTGTATCTCTGTGTGTTGAGTGTCTGCATATGTGTATGTGTATCTGTGGCCGCGTGTCTATCTGTGTGAGCATGTCTGTTTCTGAGCGTGTGTGGATGTCTGGGCCAGTATGTGTCTATATGTCTGTGCGTATTTCTGCACGTTTGCCTACATGTGTATCTGGGTATCCCCGTCTGTGACTGAGATGCCTCTGTCCAGTGCTGTGGCAGGAGCCTTTTGTCCCGGCTCACGAGAGCCCAGTGGGCTCATCTCTTCCCAACTCTGTGTCACATTGAGTGGCTTTAAATCAGCCAAAAGTGGGATATTTACACCACAGAAATTGGCAAACACTCCACGTGGGGGCTCCCTCATCCACCATAGAGAGCCCAGGCATGATCAGCATTGGCTACCATACCACTAGCCCTTGAGTGGAGGTTAATATGGGGGCCTCCTTGTTAAATATTCTAAAATTGTAAATTTGTTGTTGTTCAGTTGCTAAGTTGTGGCTGACTCCTTGTGACCCTGTGGACTGTAGCCCACCAGGCTCCTCTCTCCATGGGGATTCTCCAGGCAAGAATACTGGAGTGGGTTGCCATTTCCTTCTCCAGGGGAATTTTCTGGACCAGGAATCAAACCCAAATCTCTTGCATTGGCAGGCAGGTTCTTTAACACTGAGCCACCAGAGAAACCCTGTAAATGGTTAGATGTTAAAAATTTTCCATGGAAGCCTGTGACAGCTTCAGAGCCAGGCTTGAGAGCTGCTCCCCCAGGGGAGGCCCAGGGTTTGGAATGTGTGCCTTTGAGGGCCACTGCAGTTGCAGCTGGGATTGGACCCAGCCTGGATCTGTTGAGTACCCCCAGGACTGTACAGAGCACCCTCAAGAGGCTGCCCTAGACCTTGAGCACCTGGGACAGACTGGGGAGGACTGGACCAAGCTCTGGGAAAGGCCAAGATCAGAGTCCAGGCCAGAGGCTGAAGGAGGGGTCAGGGGACTTCCTAGATCTGATGTCATGGAGGTAGGTGGTCACACAGGTCTGGAGTTTGGGAAACCCACTATCTAAGCCTGGCTCTGCCCCTTCCTGGCTGCGCATCCTTGGACAGATCACCTCACCTCACTGGGCCTGTTTCTCTGTCCATAAAAGGGAAGAATAATAGAGGAGATTTCACTTGGTTGGTGTGTGAATGAAGGTGGATGACATCTGGAAAGAGGAAGGAAAACTCAAGATAAACAGGAGGTTTTATGATTACTATTAACATCATAAATGGCCATAAACTTTAGTCCTCTTCCTTGCCTTTTTTTTTCCCCCATTAACTGTGAACAGAAAAACTGATTCATTTCAATGCCTGCCAAGGTGTCCAACAAAACAGGAAATAATAATCATGATGTTAATGATAATGGCAAACCCATATACTAGCACACTTGTAAGTCCAGCAGGTTTATTAACTTGAAGTTCACAGTCCTGCAGCAGGCCACCCTGGACGCCTGTCCACGGTGGGGGCTGCTGGGCTGACTGGTATGTTCTACTCTCCCCTTCACACGCCTCCATTCAGGGTTCCCAGAGCGTGTGGAGCTGGCACCCCTGCCCCTCTGGCAGCCGGTAGGTGAACAACTCAACCTGAGCTGTCTGGTGTTTGGCGGGGCCCCCCGGGACCACCTCACCGTGGTGCTTCTCCGCTGGGAGGAAGAGCTGGGCCGGCAGCCCGTGGGAAAGGAGGAGCCTGCCAAGGTCACTTTCATGGTGCAGCCGAGAAGAGAGGATCATGGCACCAATTTCTCCTGCCGCTCAGAACTGGATCTGCGGTCCCAAGGACTGGAACTCTTCCAGAACACCTCGGGCCCCAGGAAGCTTCGAACCTTCGGTGAGGGAAAGAACTGCAGACCGTGGGTGATGAGTGGAGCCAGAGTAAGCGTTCCCTGGCCACGGAATTCCTGAGAATGGGGTGGCCTGGCCCTCAGGGCTTTAAGGAACACACGCCCTTGGCTATTGGGCAGGGTAGCCTCAGATGGGAGGCTCACAGTCTTGGGACTTTTGAAGAAGGCTGTGTGTGTCCTGGAAAAGGGGGGTGGGTGAGGCAGGCCGCAAGGTATCCTGGGAAAGAAGGACCCTGGTTTAGGGGGATGAGTGTCATGGGGAAAGGGGATCTCCACAGCTGTGAGACCTCCCTCCTGCTCACTTCTATCCTTCTTTCAAGCCATGCCCAAGACCCCCCCGCGCCTCGTTTTCCCTCCGTTCTGGGAGATGGAAACCTCCTGGCCTGTTAACTGCAGCCTGAATGGGCTGTTCCCAGCGTCGGAGGCCCATATTCAACTGGTGCTGGGGAACCAGATGCTGAATGCCACAGTCGTGAGCCAAGCGGACACGCTCACGGCCTCAGCCACAGCGAAAATCGAACAGGAGGGCACCCAAGAGATTGTCTGCAACGTAACCTTGGGGGTCGAGAACCGAGAGACCCGGGAGAAGTTGGTTGCCTACAGTAAGAGGGGGCGGAGCCAAAACTGCTCAGGAGGCGAGGGGTGGGGCTGACCCCGGGAACTTGACTGCATATAGTAAAAGTGAAAGTGTCCGACCCTTTGTGACAAGGATTGTATAGTCCATGGAATTCTCCAGGCCAGAATACTGGAGTGGGTAGCCTTTCCCTTCTCCAGGGCATCTTACCAACCCAGAGATTGAACCCAGGTCTCCCACATTGCAGGCAGATTCTCTACCAGCCGAGCCACAAGGGAAGCCTAAGTATACTGGAGTGGGTAGCCTATCCCTTCTCCAGCGGATCTTCCCGACCCAGGAATCGAACCGGGGTTTCCTGCATTGCAGGCAGATTCTTTACCAACTGAGCTATCAGGGAAGTCCCATAGTAAGAGCAGCAGTAAGAGGGGGCGGAGACAAAATAGCTCAAGAAATGAGGGGCGGGGCTGACCCAAGAGAACGTGACTGGCCTCTAGCCCAAGGGGGCGTGGCACACAGGCAAAGACTAAACCTGAGACACGAGGGGCCTAAGTAACCCGAGAGGAGCCTGAGTGCCCCAAACTGGGTGGGGTGAGAGCTGCAGTGTAGATGAAGGGGTAGCCTGGATACCCCGAGGGGAAAGAGACAGGTGGGGGCAGGACTTCACCCAAGGGAGGTGTGTGGTCAGCAAACTCCTGGGCAATGCCCCGCCTTTAGGCTTCCAGGGGCCCAACCTGAAACTGAGTGAGCCTAACGCCACCGAGGGGACCCCGGTGACTGTGACTTGCGCGGCCGGACCCCGAGTCCAGGTCATGCTGGACGGAGTTCCAGCCGCGGGACCAGGACAGCCTGCCCAGCTTCAGCTAAAGGCCACCGAGAAGGACGACAGGCGCACCTTCTTCTGTAACGCCACCCTCGAGGTGGATGGGGTGACGTTGCACCGTAATAGGAGCGTCCAGTTGCGCGTCCTGTGTGAGTAGGTCACGCTGACCTTTAATCCCTTGCTTCTTTGGTTTGAGACTTGTCTCTCCCTTGCCCCATTGTGCCTCGGGTGTGTTGGGTGTGTCTGATCATTTGGCGGTTCCACAGACGGCCCCACGATTGACAGAGCTAAATGTCCCCAACGCTTGATGTGGAAAGAAAAGACTATGCATATCCTGCAGTGCCAGGCCCGGGGCAACCCGAACCCCCAGCTACAGTGTCTGCGGGAAGGCTCCAAGTTTAAGGTGCCCGTTGGGATTCCATTCCTCGTCTTGTTAAACTACAGTGGTACCTACAGCTGCCAGGCGGCCAGTTCACGGGGCATGGACAAAATGTTAGTGATGATGGACGTTCAAGGTAAGCCTTGGCAAGGCGTGTTTATCCTAGACGGGCAAGCTTAGGGGGGGCCGAGACGAGCTTATTTGTTCTTCGCTTTCCGCACAGGTCGGAACCACGTCACAGTCAATATCGCCCTGGGAGTGTTAGCGATCTTGGGCCTGGTGACTCTCGCTGCAGCTTCAGTGTACGTCTTTAGGGTGCAGAGGCAACATGACATTTACCACCTGAGGCCAAGGAGCAGCCGGTGGCCCCTCACATCTACACAGCCCGTGACTGTGGCAAAGGAGTTATCCTGAGCTCAGTGATACTGAGCAAAGACGACAGGGGCTTGGCTGTATCTATCTTCGAATTCTGAATAAAGGCTTGAAAGTCCTCACACTGTGGCTTGATTCCATCTCGCAGCTTCGCGAGTCCATTGAGTGACATCGCGATAGCGGAAAAGGGCGGAGCCTGTAGTGCCCAGATAGGGCTTGAACACTGAGAGGCGGGCCGGGCCTCACCCAATGAGCTGAAGGAGTCAAGGGGAGGCGGGGCTTCTCTTGGCCAATCGGCGGGCGAGCCCTCGTTGCCGCTCTATGCCGCTCCGCCCCGGCTCGCTGGTCCCAGAAGGCGCCGGGCTTCCCAAGATGGCGGCCGACGTGTCCGTTACTCACCGGCCGCCGCTGAGCCCAGAGGCTGGGGCCGAGGCTGAGGCTGGTGATGCCGCGGAGCGCCGGGCGCCTGAAGAAGAACTGCCGCCGCTAGATCCAGAGGAGATCCGGAAACGCCTGGAACATACCGAGCGCCAGTTCCGTAACCGCCGCAAGATACTGATCCGGGGCCTCCCGGGGGACGTGACCAACCAGGTATGGGGGGGGGGGGCGTGTGGGAGCGTGGCGGGAAATACCACCGCGCGCGTGCGCGGGGGGAACCGGGCGACACCAACGCTAGCGTGCACGGGGTGGGGGCGGTCGTCGGCGGGTGAGTCCAAGCGCGGGATCCACGGGGGATCGGGAGAGACCAAGAGCGGGATGTAGGGGGTCGGAGATGGAGGGAGAAACCAACTTTGGACTGAGGGAGGACGTTGCTAGGGGCGACCAGAGGCTTGGAAGGAGCCAAGTGGTTGAAGGGGGCGGGGAATGGAAGGGGGCGGGCAGCTTTGGCCATGTTGGGGGGATAGTGAATGGACAGCCAGATTGGGACTGTGGAATCAGGGACGCCAGTTGCTTCCTGCTCTAGCATGGAGTGGTGGGATCTCATATCCATAACCTTCATGGTTGACTAGAGTGTGCCTTTTCATAGCAGGCGTTTTTGAATTCCTTTTAGGGGTAGATCCGGAAGTTAAGGCAGCCCCAGGGGTCTTTTTTCCTCAAAAGCCTCAGGATTAATTTGGAAAAATGGAGTCATCTCCTGTCCCCATGCCACAGACCTGCAGAGAAGGAGGGGGCATTGTTCCATGTAGCCCTCCTTGGCTGATCTGGGGTGCCTTGGTAATCCAGGGGTGCCCTTCTCTAGGCGCCAAATGGGACAGGACTTCCCAGTGCTCTTTGGACCCAGGAAGATTGAACCTAGTCTGCCCTGCCCTTCAGCAATGGAATGGGTTCTTTGTCCCTGCTGTAGAGAATCCCTGCTCCCTGGCCCCTCCAGCACACCTGCCACTGGCTCTCTCTGCCCGTGGGTGGTGGGACCCTAGGAGTGGTGGGAGGGGTGTGACTTGGGGACAGACTTGAGACAGGTGTTTCTAAAGTCAGTCATCCTCCTACTGCCCACCATCTCCCAGCCGGAAACGTGCCTTCTCTCCTGCAGGGTGCACAGTGTGTCTGGCACTAAAAGGCCCCAGAGCCTCGCTTCTGCAGCTGGCTTGCAGGAAGCTGTCAGTAGGAGGGAATGGGGAGGCACGTGAAGCCACACAATGTGGGCTTATTAAGTACACAGGGTCACCAGTCAGGTACCCAGGAGTGGCATTCCCACTGCTGTGCCCTGACCAGCTGCTTGTCCTTTGACAATTTCCTTCACCTCTCTGAGCCTCAGTTTCCCATCTACAAAGTGGACTTATTAATACTCGATTTGCAGGGTTGTTGGAAAGAATCAGTCTTGCAAACTGAGGTTGAGATGGGTTAAACAGCTCCCCTGTGGGCAGAGCTGGATCTTGAATTCAGACTGACCTGACTCTCTAATAAGAGCGTGTTGTGTTGATTAAAAGCATGGGCTCTAAAAAAAAAAAAAAAAAAAGCATGGGCTCTACAGCTGAGCTCTGCCTCCCAGCCCTGCCAGGTATGGCTGCAATGGCCTTGGGCAAGCAACTGCTCTGAAACTCCGTGTCCTCACTTGTAAAATGGGGCTGGTGATTGACCTGCCTTCATAGCTGGTCCACATGAACGTACCACTGGGTTACTCTCTTCATTTCTCTGTGATTCCCTGTCCTTTGGCTTGTCTCCACAGGAGGTACACGACCTGCTCAGCGACTATGAGCTCAAGTACTGCTTTGTGGACAAGTACAAAGGGACAGGTTTGTGGGACCCTGGGGTGGGGTGGGGTGAGCTAGTGGCAGGTGATGACAGTCCCTGAAGCTGGAGAGTCCTGGCCCAGTGTCTCCTGAACTTCAGGTCCAACATTTAGCAGAGAGAGAGGGTCCATGAACCAGATGGGACCCAAGGGATTGGAAGGGCACCAGTAATTCTGGAGGACTTGAAGATCAGACAGGGCTGGGGGACTGGCCAGCAGAGGGAATGTTTGGGAAGGGGTCCCCAGTGCCCAGGTATCTGCTGGGTAGCCTAGAAGAAAAACGGCAAGGATGCACCATGATGGGCACCCAAGATGAGGGCACCCAAGATTGGGGCAACAGTCTGTCCTGCTCTGGGTCTAGGAGACATGTCTGCCTCCCTCTGGCCTCTCTGCCTCCACGATTTCACTCCCCTGCCTACCTTCCCCTAGGCAGCCAGCTCTGATCTGATTGTAAATCTGATCAAACCTGGTCCTAACCCTGATCATTCTTCTGTCACCTCACAACCTGTGTGAGCTCCTCCTGATATTACCTTGCAAAGAGGTACCTCAGCCTTACCATCTCTTCAGGTGCCTAAGGTTCCAGGCTATTCCCTGTTTTTAACGTCTCTTCCACTCAGGGCAACTCCTCCCAGTGCCCAAGCACACCCCGTACCCCATCATAGCACTGACCACCCTAGGCTGTCACTATTGACCCACTCACCTGCCTCCATGGGGTGGTCATTTCTATGAGAACAGGGACTGGTCTTGGCCCCCAACATAGGAGGCTCTCGGTGGACATCTGTGTCCACCAGGCATCGTGCCGGGTGTTAAACCTGCCAGGGCCTTTGCCCGCAGTCTGTAACACGGGAGAGAAGGGACTGATGACAAGTGACCCCTGGAGACCCACCTGGTGGACTGGGGTCGTGGTTAAGATCTTGGGTCCTGGAAGCTCAGAGTCCTGGGTTTTTGTCCTGGTCTGTCCTCACTGTTTGGCCACAGGCAAGTGACTTACCCTCCCGAGCTTCAGTTTTCTCACCAACAAAGTGGACATGGCCTGTTGGAGTTGGCTGTGAAGCCAAACACATTAAAACATCTGAAAAACTGTGGGTGCCTGGGAGGCGGCCTGCTGGACTTCAAGTCCAGGCTTCCCCACTTGAGCAGTGCCCTGCCCTGTGCCCATTTCCTTGCTGGAAAGATAGTGGTTGTGAGGAGGAAGTTATTCCCATTTGGCAGAGGACGAAACTGACTTCAGAGCCACTCGGGCTGGCGTTGAAACCCAGGCTCCAGGGACCACATGGGTAAACACTACTACCCCACATGGCATATCTTATGGAAAAACCTGAATGAACTTTTGGCCAACACAGTAGTTCTTAGGGTGGGACCAGGCCCCAGTGGGTGATCGTCACCGTGGGTTGTAAGGAGCAAGCCTGGAGGAGCCAGGCGGCACTGGCTATTGTTGCTCACGGCTGGTGACTATGCCAGTCTGCTGGTGCCCATGATGTCCTGGTGGTTCAGTATTCCTGAGGTCACGTGTGGTTTAGCAGGAGGTGGGTGTGGGCAGACATGGGGTAGAGGTGCAGGCCCTTGGGGGGCCCCACTGACCCCATGCTCCCACCTGCCGCAGCCTTTGTGACGCTGCTGAACGGGGAGCAGGCGGAGGCCGCCATCAGCGCCTTCCACCAGAGCCGCCTGCGGGAGCGGGAGCTCTCGGTGCAGCTGCAGCCCACGGACGCCCTGCTCTGTGTGGCCAACCTGCCCCCCAGCCTCACGCAGCAGCAGTTCGAGGAGCTGGTGCGGCCCTTCGGCAGCCTGGAGCGCTGCTTCCTGGTCTACAGCGAGCGCACCGGTCACTCCAAGGGCTACGGTTTCGCCGAGTACATGAAGAAGGACTCGGCCGCCCGCGCCAAGTCAGACCTGCTGGGCAAGCCCCTGGGCCCACGCACTCTCTACGTGCACTGGACAGATGCCGGGCAGCTGACACCTGCCCTGCTCCACTCCCGCTGCCTCTGTGTTGACCGCCTGCCACCCGGCTTCAGTGATGTGGATGCCCTGCGCCAGGCGCTGTCAGCCGTCCACACCCCCACCTTCTGCCAGGTAAGCCCGGTGCCTGGTGCAGGGACCTGGGGGAGCAGATGCGAAGCCCAGAGCACCTTGGAGGGGCCGTGTGAGTCACCTGCTCTCTCCAGTCTTCTGGGTTCCCTTTCAGTAAAGCAGCAATGAGGCCACTTTGAATCGTGTTCTTGTTAGAAAGGCCATGTGGTACAGTGGGTGACAGGCCAGCCAGGAGCCAGATGGCTGGGGTTCAGATCCCTGCACACCCTCTGGCGACTTGCTTTACCTCCCCCTGAAAAATGCAAGCAAGGCTACTTTTGTTAAAAAAAAAAAAAAGGCTTTGAGACCCACTCACCCTGTATTCACATCCACCCTTTGCTCATGCCTCCAGACCCCAGGGCCAGCATCAAGGAGGCCACTGGACGAGCTCACCGCAAGTCACACATGGCCAGATCCCAGCCCTGCCCTGTGGCCCCAGACAGGTCACTTACTCTCTGAGTACTGGTTTCCTTCCTACCCCTGTAAGGAGAGATTCGGCCCTCATGTGGTGGTTTAGGAAAACAATCCCTGGTTCATTCCAGTCTCACTTGTCAGGCCCTTCTGTAAGGGTACCTAGCCCTGTGACAGGTGCAGTGGGGCGAGAATAGGCCAAGGCCAGCTCGCAGAGAGCCCCCAGGCCCCCAAAGTGGACATTCCTTCAGCACACACTGGGCTTGACTACTGTCTCTCCACCCTGCCTGTAACAGCCCAGAGGGGCAGGTGTCACCTGTGTTTTTAGGTCGGGACACACTGAGGATAAACAGGGAGATCAGCTGACACATCCGAGAACAGCCAGCCAGGTGGGCAGAGCCCAGGAAGCCCAGGCCACCCTGGAGGAGGCTGGGCTATGGGCTCAGAGCCCAGGTCTGCTGCCGTGGGTGTTGGTGCCGGGGAACCGGTGTTGGTAGGAACCCCACTCCTTGCTCGCTGCTGCTTTTGCAGCATGCCTACTGTGTGCTGGGCCCTGGGTAGGACTCAGGACACAGGTAACATATACTTACAGTCAGCAGCCACTGACTGGAGATTGAAGATGGCAAGGCCATGACCAGTTACAGGTTCTCTCTCTGGGCATGGCTATCCCCATCTCAGAATGGATCTGGTCCTGCTTTGTGACTGGGTTATTGTGAATGGTTGCTCACTCATTCCCCCGCTTATGTATCTGCTGAGTCCCCGACTGGAAGGTGACCGCCTCCAAGGAGCCCAGTCACACAGAGCATCCTTGTTGAAGAGAGCCTGGGCTTGGGAGTTAAGAGGTCAAAGTTTGAGCCTCCATCCCCCTATTTAAGAGCCACACGGCCTCGGTTGCCCTTTGACCCCTTTCTGTATTCATCGGATGAGATGGATGTGATTGTGAGAAGCAGCCCATCCAGGCCTTGGTGCAGGGCTGGGCCAATGATGAAGGTGAAGTGCTCACTAGAGGTGGGCTGAAGGCCAGACTTGCCCTGCCTGGGCCATTGGGCGCTGGGCCCCCACCCACAGCCACCCTACCCAGTGGATCCAGCTGATGGTCTCATCTTAGAGATGAGGAAACCGGGGGCCATGCATGGGCACTTACAGTGACCTCCCCAAGCTGGCCAGAAAGAGATGGACCTGGGAGTCAAGATCAGGCAGCTGACCCAGGGCCCACGCTCTTTAACTGGGCACACCCGCCTCCCATAAGGGAGTTTGCTGCCCATGTCAGGGGGCATTTTGTTTCCAACACAGTCAAGAGGAGAACGTGAAGGAAAGCCCTTAGCAGCCTAGTCTGGTTCACTCTGCCATTTATCAACAGGTCAATTTATGTGTTTGTGTGTGTGTGTGTGTGTGTGTGTGTGTGTGTTTGTGTATATGGCTTCCAAGGTGGCTCAGTGGTAAAGAACCTGCATGCCAAGCAGGAGATGCAGGTTCCATTCCTGGGTGGAGACGATCCCCTGGAGAAGGAAATGGCAACTCACTCCAGTATTCTTGTCTGGGAAATCCCATGGATAGAGGAGCCTGACGGGTTATAATCCATGGGGTCGCAAAAGAGTTGGACACAATTTAGCAACTAAACAACAAACAAATATACATGTCATTTGTATTTATTCATTAAAAAAAAAATTTATTTTGGCTGCACAGAACCAGTGAGATGATCCTAGTTCACTGCTGACCAGGGATCAAACCCTTGCCCCCCTGTAGTGGAAGTCCAGGGCCCTGACTGCCAGGGAAGTCCCTACATATCTTAATTGGTGTATTTTGTTGCAAAATTGCTTAAAAAACTTTGAGTGCAATGTAGTAGTGTTGCTCAGTCATGTCCAACTCCTTGCGACCCCGCGGACTGTAGCCCTCTAGGCTCCTCCGTCCATGGAATTCTCCAGGCAGGTATACTGGGGGGTAACCATTCCTTTCTCCAGGGGATCTTCCCAACTCAGGGATTGAACTGGAGTCTCCCGAATTGCAGGGAGTTACTTCACCTGCAGAGTGGGTGTGCCAAGACCACCTGTATCTGGGGTGCAGTGAAACAGCACCTTTGGCCCCTGGCCCATGGGCGTGTGGGGCCCAGCCAGATGCTCTCCCAGGATCTACCCTCCCTGGGACAGCCCTGGACAAGTGTCTGGCAGCCACAACACCCTGAAAACCAGGAGTCTTGTTATCTGAGCTAAACTGACATGGGGTCATCTGTGGCCTTCCTCTTTGCCCCTTGCTGGCAAGCTATTCACAAGCTTTGATTTCCAGCGTGCCCCAGAACCCCTTGGGGGTGACTGATACATAACATAGGGTATGTTTGGCTCCCTCCTCTCATCTCCAAAACAGCCTCAATCCGGGAACATAGGGACTTCCTTGGCGGTCCAGTGGTTCAGATGCTGTACTTCCAATGCAGGGGTGTGGGTTTGATCCCTGGTTAGGACTAAGATCCCATATGCTGTGCAGCGTAGCTAATTAAATTTTTTAAAAAAAGGCCTGGAACACATCCTGCCCCAGGATCGAGAGCTGAGGGCCTGAAGTACCAAATGGCTGCTGTTAAGGCAGGTGAAGGGGCCCCTGGCTCACTCGTTATCACATCTCTGTTTTTTTCCACACACTGGCTGTGTGACCCCGTCCTCCTGCCCAGCACTACCAGCCTTAGACCCGAGCTCAGTGACCATCTGTCTCACCATCAGACTGTGTGCCCTGCTCAGCTGCAGCTGTAGCATCCTCAGCCTGAGGTGTGCAGTTGGGGCGAACTCCAGAGCTACCTGCTTCTCCCGCCAGCCCCTCCTCGCCAGGCGCTGCAGAGTGTACTCCGGAAACCCAGGCAACGTCCCCAAGAGGCACTGGCGCAGGGCCTGGTGGCTCTGACCAGTGGGCGGCCTGGCTCTGCCCTCCCACCAGCAGTGTGACCTTGAGCATGCTGACCTCTCTGAGCCTCCATTGTCCCTTCTGAATAATGGGCAGGATACAGCCTCCCAGGGCTGTTGAGAAGGTTCGAGGAGTTAACACAGGAACCGGGCGTGGGGCAGCACAGAGCCCAGAGTCCATTCTCCCTCTGGGGGGTTATTGTCATCAGAATCCTCATCTGGTCACAGCTGTCACTTCAGTTGATGGTGGTCACTGCCACCCTGGTGCTCACGACTGCCTCTCCCCTCCACAGCTGGCATATGGCCAGGACGGGCAGCTGAAGGGCTTCGCCGTGCTGGAGTACGAGACAGCAGAGATGGCGGAGGAGGCCCAGCAGCGGGCGGATGGCCTGGCCCTGGGAGGCAGCCACCTGCGCGTCTCCTTCTGCGCCCCCGGGCCCCCTGGCCGCAGCATGCTGGCCGCTCTCATTGCTGCCCAGGCCACGGTGAGTGCATGCTTGGGGGGGGGGGGGGCGGGTGCCCCAGAGGGGCATGGGGGAGCCAAGGAGTCAGGCAGGGCTCTGAACTGCCCCTCTGATCCTCTCTGCAGGCCCTCAATCGGGGCAAAGGGCTGCTTCCAGAGCCCAACATCCTGCAGCTGCTCAACAACCTGGGGCCCTCCGCTTCCCTCCAGCTGCTGCTCAACCCCCTGCTCCACGGCGGCGCGGGTGGCAAGCAGGGTAAGACGATGGGGGCCCAGCACTCTCAGAACCGGGCGTCTCCCTGGACTCTTGCTGTCTGAGCTCTGAGTGACACGAACCCACAAACAGGTTTTGGGATGGCGCTCCCCAAGGGGGCTGATGCCCTGAGCCCCTTGCAAGGGGGCTGGGTCATGGAAGAGGGACAGCCCTTCCCTGGGGGGTGAGGGGGGAACTCATCACCCAGGCTGTTTCTTGGGGTATGTCAGTTGCCCTCATGGAGCTTCCATTTCCTGTTCTCAATGGGCTTGGGGCTGTATTTCCTTGGGTGGGGGGTGGGGGGGAGGTTCCACCTTGGACCACTTCATTTTCTGGGTCTCCCCTAGGCCTCCTGGGCGCCCCCCCAGCCATGCCGCTGCTCAATGGGCCCGCCTTGTCCACGGCACTGCTGCAGCTTGCCCTCCAGACCCAGAGTCAGAAGGTAACCTCAGGCCTGTGGGCCACAGGCTCCCTCCTCACACATCCTGCGGCCCCTCATGGTTCCATTTCCAACATTGCTTCTTCTGCCAGCGGGGAGCTCACCATGAGTGGGGCTGTGGGCCCTCGGACTGTGTCCCTGGGGCCTGGTTCGCAGGTGCTCAGGAAGTGACTCAGTGAAAGCCGAGGCCCCACAGGGGAATAGGGGGCCTCTCATCCCCACCCCCTCAACATGCACACGGAAAAACTGACACCACACACAGGTGGCGCTGGTGGTAAGAACCCACCTGCCAGTGCAGGAGACATAAGAGACCCGGGGTCAGTCCCTGGGTGGGGAAGAGCCCCTGGAGGACGCAGCAACCTGCTCCAGTATTCTTGCCTGGAGAATCACATGGACAGAGGAGCCTGGTGGGCTATAGTCCTTAATGTCACAGAGTCAGACAGGACTGAAATGACAGCACACACACACACAAGCACACACCACCCAGTCCAGTTTGATTCACTGAGGCCAAGTCAGTGGCTCGGGTGTGTCTGATGGTAACCGACAGGTGAGGCTGAGGGCGTGGGCTGTTGTGTGAGTAAGAATGACTGAATGTACGTATGGCTGTCACACACTGCACTTCCAGTCAGGGTGGTTGTGTGTGTTAGATGCTGTGCGTCTGTGATAAGCAGCAAGGGGACTAGATGTGGACCGGTGGACATCACTGTGATTTGCTGACAGTAACTGACTGTGGGTGACAGGCTTTGACCCGCTGAGCATGGACCGTGTTCCCGGGGTCTCCCCAGCACTTGGGCAGGCCCTGGCATGCAGGAGGCCCCTGGTCACTGTGGCAGGTGGGTGATGGCCAGGGTGTCACACATTGGGAGAGGCCCTGTGTGTTTGGCTGTAGGCTGGGCCTGTGACCCCTCATCTCAGCTCATTATCCTCTGTCTCTAGAAACCTGGGATCTTGGGAGACTCTCCTCTGGGCACTCTCCAGCCTGGGGCCCAGCCGGCCAACCCCCTCCTCGGGGAGCTGTCTGCAGGTAATGCCAACCCTCTTCTCCCCATCTCTCTGGGCTTTATCCCACTTCCCCTTCCCTTTCCTCCCTGGGTGTGATACATTCCCAGCGCTGCAACTTTGGGCAAGTGACCTAACCTGTCTGAGTCCTCACCTGTCAGTTGAGCACATGGTGCCTGCCTCCTTGGGGAGCCACGGACATCCTGGGAGTTGATGGACTTCGAGAATGCTGCTCAGTGTCCGAATGTAGTGGCCCTGGTCCAAGCAGAGGCTCCCAGGCCCCAGAAGGGGTCCTGTGTGGTTGGGCTGCTGACACCCTTCTTCTCTCTGTAGGAGGGGGCCTGCCCCCTGAGCTGCCACCCCGGCGAGGGAAGCCACCACCCCTGCTGCCACCACTGCTCGGCCCCTCTGGGGGTGACCGGGAACCCATGGGCCTGGGTCCCCCAGCACCGCAGCTTACTCCACCCCCCGCCCCCGTGGGGCTCCGAGGCGCAGGCCTCAGAGGCCTCCAGAAAGACAGCGGGCCTCTGCCAACGCCCCCTGGGGTAAGGCCCCCCTCAGTGCCCAGCCATCACCCCAGCCTCCGACCCTGCGCGCGCCCCCCTGCTAGGGGCCCTCGTGAATCTAGCCTTCCCACCACAGGTCTCTTTGCTGGGGGAGCCCCCCAAGGACTTCCGGATCCCCCTGAATCCCTACCTGAACCTACACAGCCTGCTCCCAGCCAGCAACCTGGCGGGTAAGGAGGCCCGGGGCTGGGGAGGCGCTGGGAGAAGCCGCCGCCCAGCTGAGGGCCCCCTGCCTCACCCCCCAGCCCCCGGAGGTGGTGGTGGAGGTGGCAGCAGCAGCAAAGCCTTCCAGCTCAAGTCCCGCCTGCTCAGCCCCCTCTCCAGCGCCCGCCTGCCCCCCGAACCAGGGCTGTCCGACAGCTATGGCTTCGACTACCCCTCAGTAAGTATATGCAGCCACCCTGGGGGCAGCCCTCCCAAAGGCCCTGTGTCCCCAGAGAGCACGTCGTTCTCCAGTTCGACATCTTTCTGACTGTGATGGGCTGGGCTGAGTGCACAGGAGACAGAAGGGAACATGCCAGACGCTCAAGTCTCTTGTCTGTCTCTGTGCATCATGAAACCCTGCTTCCTGTCAGTCAGTCTCTCTCTCCCAAGAGGCCTGTGGCCACACAGCTACTTCTCCTTAACAGACAAGGGCTCAGCCTCCTCTCTGTCTGTCTGTGCTTCTCACTGCTCCCCTCTGCAGTCCCCATCTCGGTCCCTGGAGAACTGCTCCTTCTATGGTTCTGACTTCTAGGCCAGACGTTGCAGACTGGCCATATGTGTTGTTTGGCCCACAGCGGATTTTTAAAAAAATAACCAAGATAAATGCCAGTGACAAAATACAGAAACCACAAGTGTTCGCACCTGGGTACCCTGCTTGCCTTAAAGACTCCAACCTCATGCCTCACACCTTTCACAGCCCTCTGGGGTCCAGGTGCAGCCACCCCCCTGGGACCAGGCACCGCTTCTGTGTCACTGCCCCACCCTGCTTGCTGAGTTTGCCCCAGGCACTAGAGTCTGCCTCAAGGAGGCAGACTTCCCCAATGACAGCTGTGCTGTGGAACTGAATTTGGGTGAGGTTGGTTATAGACACCCCCCCAACCCCACCCCACTCAACGTGCTTCTCCCACTCATTCAGGATGTGGGACCTCGGCGGCTCTTCTCCCACCCACGGGAGCCAACCCTTGGGCCTCACGGACCCAGCCGACACAAAGTAAGAGCCTCTCTGTGCATCCCACCTCCTGGTGTATCAGTTAGCTCATGCTGCATAAGAAGCAGTCCCAGTACTTTGTGACTTAGAACAGGAACTATTTTATTATTCTCACCCTCTTGCTGGGCGGGGGGGCATGGTGCCGTTCTTTGCAGTCACCAGGCAGTTCACCTGGGTCTTGGGGGTTCACAGTGGCTTCCTTCATGCATCTGGCAGTCAGTAGGCTGGGGATGCAGCCTCAGCTGCAGTGACTTCCCTGCTCCACTTGGACCTCATCCTGCAGCTGGCCAGCCTGTGCTCATACATGTGGTAGTGGTCCCCAGGTTCCCCAGAGGAGGAAGGGAGGGCTGGCCCCTCTGCTGGCATTGTCACAACACTCTCCTAGGGGCCAAAGCCCAGACTTGTTTGGGGGACCTCCAAAAGGGGGTGATACTGCAGTGATCTGTCTTACTCAGCCAGCCCCCTTTCTGCAGATGTCCCCCCCACCCAGTGGCTTTGGCGAACGGGGTGGCGGAGGTGGCGGTGGGCCCCTCTCCCACTTCTATTCGGGCTCACCCACTTCCTACTTCACCAGCGGCCTGCAGGCTGGCCTCAAGCAGAGCCACCTTAACAAGGTGAGGAGCCTCCCCAACTGAGAACGGGGCCCCAGGGACAACCAGGATGCATGGGGCCCATGTGACCTTTGGTGTCACAGCCAGGGTGGTGGCAGGGGTCGGTTTTGCTCAGGGCTGAGCTAAAACAGGCCGTCCTCCTCAAGCCTGTATGTCTTGCATGTAGTATTGCCCAGGCTTCCGGGCCTCTCACTTCCTTCCCCAGCAGCCCGGGGTGTGGGTGATATAGCCCCAATCCACAGATGGAGAAACTGAGGCCCAGAAGGATGACATAATCAGCCCCCAGTCTCAGCTGGTAACTGGCAGCAGCAGGATTTGAAGCTGAAACCCCTGCCTTGGCCCCGGGGGCTGCTTCCTCCCCCATCCCACATCTCTCATCTCTCCCAGGTGGCTGGCTCCTCCCCGCTGGGTTCCGGAGAAGGGCTCCTGGGCCTTGGCCCTGGGCCCAATGGCCACAGCCACTTGCTGAAGGTACGGGCAGGGGTTGGGGCCCTCAGGGCTGGGGAGTGGTGGCCCCTGGGTGGCCTCTGACCCACCAGCCTTCCCCTCTGTCTCCAGACCCCACTGGGTGGACAGAAACGCAGCTTCGCCCACCTGCTGCCCTCACCCGAGCCCAGCCCAGAAGGCAGCTATGTGGGCCAGCACTCCCAGGGCCTTGGTGGCCACTACGCAGATTCCTACCTGAAGCGCAAGAGGATTTTCTAAAGGGCCAGTGCCGGAGAAGCTCAAAGGCCTGCACCAAATCGCTTTGGGGTTTTCTGGTGTTTTGTTGTTACTTTTCTTTTCCTTTGGGTAATAGAAAAATCTCTGAAAGACTTTGCTGACCAACCAGCAGGAGCCCAAGGAGTGCGGGGGGCATCTGGGAGCACTGTGCACCTCTGGCCTGCTCCCAGCGTGGAAACCCTGCAGCCTTAAGAGGGAGGGGCACCAGCCTGCTCTCTCCCCCCTCCCCCCCTCCACCATGTCCGCCTGTGTCTGTCTCTCTGGGAGTCCCCTCCTGCCTCGGTGTCGCTCCTGTATCTTGGCCTTTCGAGTGCCTTGGAGGTTTCCCTGACCTCCCGTGAGGATCAGAGACTGTCCCCCCCTTTTCTAACTTTGATAATTGACTGGTTTCCTTTTCTAATTTTTATTATTTTTTAAACAATCCATGACGTTCCCCCTCTCCCCCCCAGCTCTGATTCCTTCAAGGCCCAGCATGTCTGGGCCTTCATTCCACACTTTCCGGTTTGAAATGGCTCAGCCCTTTTTTCTTTCTCCCACACTTGTTGCAGGCATGGCTGTCTCCTGTCCCGGCCTGCCCTCTCTGGCCTGTACCCCAGCTCCAGGTCCCCTGCTTCCTACCACAGCCCCCTCGCCTTCTGATGCCTTAAAAGCCAGGCCCCAGACCCTGCCGGCCAGAGCCTCTCAGATGCTGAGCTCCGGAAGCTTGACTCAGGACCAAATGGCTCTGGCCTGGGGATTGGGCCCCTCTACCCAAGGTCCCCGATTGTGGGGACAGTAGAAGGCCAAAGTTTTGGTCTTGGCAAACCAGTCCCACCAGCCCTCTCTGCCCAGGCCTAGGTGCGGGGTGGGCTTTCTCTGCCAGCTTAACCCGGTTCCCCTGCTGTCCTACTGTCTGTCGGGCATTGTGCATCTCACTGAGCCTCTGTCGTCTCCCCCATGTTGAAGATGAGCCCCGCCTTGTTATCCCCAAGCCAGATCGCCCAGAGCTGGCCTCCCTGTGGCCCAGTGCTGGAAAAATAAGGTGCAGATAAACTCTGCCCCTTCCCACCAGCAGGACCTGTTAGCCTGAGGTGACCCTGGGCTGCGACCCTGGCCAGCTGGGCCACCAGCTCCCCTCCCCTGACTCGGGGTCCACATCCACTCCGGGGGGCTGTCTCCTCCCCAATCTCACACAAACCTTTGCGGAATTAAAGTTTGTAAGTAAATGGTTTTAAAGAAAGCAGACCCGGCTGGTTCTTGGGACAATGTGCCTGGGTGGGAGGTCTGGGACAGCCCTGCAGGTCTTGGCTCATCCGAGCCTGCGCACTGCGCTTCCAGTTTGGCAACCTCCCCTGGACTCGCAGCGATGCAAAAAAAAAAAAAAAAGGCGCTTGTATTCGGGTAATTACAGGGCCGTAGCTTCTAAAGGCGTCAAGGCGCATGCTCAGTCTCTGGTCACGTGATGCCTGTCATGGCCGCCTCCGTGGCCTGGGGAGGTGTGAATGCTGGGTTCCTGCTGCGGGCTGCCAGGGGTGCCTGGTGGAGCCGACCTGGGGGCTTTTGGGGGTCTGGGGAGGCGGCGGCGCCAGCGATAGCCAGGAAATTCCGGGCGACAGGTACCTGGGGAGCCTCGGGTGGGCATCGTTAACCCATCGCACGCCAGCTGAGCCCGGCACGGCAGCTCACCCAACCGTGTTTTCCAGGCTCGCGCCCGGCGGGGGAGGAAGAAGCCGGCGGCCCCGAGCGGCCCGGGGACGTGTGAGTGTGGGAGCCAAGTCCCCCGTTACTACTAGCACGGGGTTCCTCCCGTCCCCACATTGCCGTACAACCTCATCCCTGTGCCCCCCCTTCGGCATCACCTTATTTCCATGTCTCGTCAAACCCCAAACATGAGTTCTTAACCCTATATTCCACCTGGCCCCTGCGCCCATCATCCAGTTGAGGCATCTGCACTGTCATCTGTCCCCAGGGTGAACGTGGTGTTCGTGGATCGGTCAGGCCAACGGATTCCGGTGAGCGGCAGAGTCGGGGACAATGTTCTCCACCTGGCCCAGCGCCATGGGTTGGATCTGGAAGGTGGGAGCCGGACACAGGGAATTGGGGATATCTTTATTCATTCGTTTAGAAAACCCACGAGTCAGATAGGATTCTCTACTATTTAATCTTGCACGGCTTCCCACCCAACATGGTTAAACTTCAGACTCCTCACCAGGATCTCATCCTCTGCTCTCTTAACCTTTATTCATTCAGCAGTTATTTATTGAGCATTTACTAGAGGTTCCTAAAACTCTTGCCCGCCAGGAGCTTGTATTTTCTTCCTTTTTCCTCCCTCTCTTCTAGCCACACTGACTTGCTTGCTGTTCCTCAAATAGCCAAGTTCATGCCTGCCTCAGGGCCTTCGCGTTTGGTGTTCCATCAAAAGTGCTTTCCCACCAGACCTTCTGGCTCCTCATCCTTCAGGTCTTGATGTAAATGTCATCTTCCTGACAATCTTATCCCTCTCAGCCCAACTGCAGTCCCCATGCCCCAATAACTCTATTCATACTAGTGTGTTGTATTGTCTGCATAGCACTTCTCATTGTTTTGTTTCCTTCTTTGTCATTTCTCCCCAAAATGAGATCAGAAACCCTGTTTGCCTTGTTCACACGTATCTGTTGCCTGTCATGGTATTTAGATGTAACAGGTATTAAGTCAGTATTTGTTAAAGGAAAGATAATAATAGCAGACGTTACTTTAAGCCCCTTACCACGTTTTAACTGATTGAATCTATTTTATGACAACATTATGCAATAGGGGAGAATGTTATCCTGTTTTATAGGTGAGGAAATTGAGCCCCAGGTTGAGCAGACCTGGTCCAAGGTCAAGTAAGTGGCAAAACTAGATTCAAACCCAGCCTGTCTGAGCCACTAATCTGTGCTGCTCTTCTGTGAATATTGAACACATGTTGTGTGCCAGGTAGTAATGTAAAAAAGCAGATAAGGCCCTTGTCATTTCACAAGTTTCAACCTGATAGGGACAATAATCCCATGCATAAACATGTAATTATATCATGAGCACCTGGGAGAGTGGTCTTTTAAAAAGTGTATAGTGTTGGGTGTATGTTTGTATGCGTGACATGAGTGCATGCTCAGTTGTATGGGACTCTGCAACCCCATGGACTGTAATTTTCCAGGCGCCTCTATCCATGGAATTTTTCAGGCAAGAATACTGGAGTGGGTTGCCATTTCCTACTCCAGAGGATTTTCCTGACCCAGGGATCAAACCCACGTCTCTTGCATCTCCTTCATTGGCAGGCGGATTCTTTACCACTGCACCACCTGAGAAGCCCCGGTGTATATAATGAGCTGATTTAATCATTAGACAGTGTTTGGGGGAGGGGGGAGAATTGGGGGCAGTCCTGGCAGACCTACCTTAAGTTCTGTTCTGGAATCCAGTGGCTGGCAGTTCATGACAAAGGTTAGAACAAGAGCAAGTTACTTAGCATCTTTCAGCCTCATCATCTGTAAAGTAGGATAGTTTAGTTCATATCTCACCGGGTTGCTGTGAGGTTTAAGCAGATTTCATGTGTACGGTGTGTAATACCTGGCACGTGGTTGGTGTGCAGTGAGTAGTTGGAATGATTGTATTAGGTTATCTCTATCTCATGTGGTAAGAATGTTAATGAGCTGGGAAAGAGGGCTAAGAGACATCTGTGGATGACTTGAGTTTTGAGGCCCAGACTGTTTCTTCCCCAGACAGGGAAGGTGGGCTGCTGGGGTCCAGCCCCAGCAGGATCCAGGGGCACCCTCAGGATGAACGGCGTCAGCGAATGAGAGAGAGAGACAGAGAAAGAGACCAGACCAGAGTGTGCAGCAGAGTCTGGCAGTTGCTTTATTTTCCACCATCGCCTTTATACCCTAAGTTGGTACATTTCTAAGGGGGAGATAAGCATACAGACTTAGTTTAACATTACATCAGCTTGTCCTTCACGAAACCAGGTGTGCTCTGTATATTTTTGTTTATGAGAGTCTTTTCCCATAGATTTTTTGTACATTATCTTCTGGCCTTGAGCTCAGCAGAAAACAGAAAAGTGGCAGTTCTCATGATACAGCAGGTTGCAACAGAATAGAAATACAGTCCTGTTAACATAAAAGTCAGTCTTTTTGGAGAAGTTCTCAGCTAAATTTATCTAAAAAGTTTAGCACACAAAGACTGCGGCTCTGGTGAGGCAGCCCCTGTTTAGCACTCCTGGTTAAAATTAACAATTATCTTACTGTTTTTACACTAGGGCTAAACTCTTATTTTTCTAGATCTCCAACTATATTAACAAGAGTTTCCACTACACGACCTCAGCACATTAACATCAATCAAACGTTGATCTAATAACCACTTTTAAAGCAATTATTTTTTGTGTTCTCTAATATGGCTTCCTCACCCCGCCAAAGGGCTCTGTGCCTATTAGGGCCTTTTTTATGGTTAATCTCTATGTATAATATCTTTTGGCTTTCAGGCCTGTTGACAATTTATGGCTTGCACCTGGCGTAACTTTAAGCAACTTCAGTAGCCGACCCTGTCTTTTTTGTAGTTAATCTATTTTTTTTCTATTAGGTGTCATCTCCATGGGAACTAGATAGGATTACATTTTTATAGGACAGAAATGCAAAGGATTGCAAAAACAGCAGATATGGCACAAAACAGGCTCTTAGTCTAAAAGTTAATTACCTGCAAGAAGTCGCCAGCTAATCTCTATCTAAAGTATTTTCTATTAGGCATATTTGTGGCTATTTTATTTGTGGAGCTTTTCTCACCCCACGGAGGGACCTATGCTTAATAGTTTCTTTTATTAGCATACTGTGCTTAGGATGTTTAGAACAATCATGAGCATTTTTTGCAGTGAGAGCACACATTTATCAAACAAGCCAGAATGCCAGCAAAAGGATTTGAATTGAAGCAGTTCCTTCATCCCTGGCCCCTTCATAGGGTACTAGCGTCTAGGAAATTTATTAATTAGGATTTTAAATTGGTCTTTATTCAGTGAAAGAGGAGCAAGAGAACTCTCAGCAGGCAACACAAGAATCTGCAGCAGGGCAAACAAGAACAACAGCAGAAAAGGGGGGAGGATACAGGGTGGGGTGGAGGCCGAGGCCAACCTGGAGGGTCCCTTATATCCTGAACATCCTTGCCTGTCAGGTTTTTCCCTCATGACCTCGTCATGGATGGGATCCTGGATGGCCTTGCCTGTCAGGTATTTTCTTCCTGACCTCATCATGGGTGGGATCTCTTACAACGGCTCCCAGCAGTGGGCAGCTTAGTCACTGCAGCCCACAGGGGAGGGTCTGCTGGGTCAGAAAGCTGCCTTGCAGCTCCACCCTCATGGTCCAGCCTGTCTGGAAGAGAAAGGAGAATTCTGTCCTGTTTACTTAGAACAGGTATCTCTCGAGGCATCTACAATCTCCCAAGCTCAGTGCTGAATGCAGAGAAGAGGCAGGTTGACAGAGCACAGGGAAACCCAGAAATGATGGTGGTAACTTCAGACTGTGATAAATGCTGTCCAGAAATTTTTAGAGATAACAAGAGTTGGGGGAAGGACAAGAAATAGGAGATGGGAACTTGGAGGGCAACTGAATAGTGCCCAAAGACAAAAAGGACCTAGCTCTCGAAAGACTGCAGAGAAGAGCATTCCAGATCAAGAGTACGCCAAGTGCAAAGGTCCTGTGGTAGGGGGTGAGCTTGGCATGGAGGAATTGAGTGAAGGGGCCGGGGTGGCTGAAGTAGGTGGGAGAATCTCAAGGACTGAGGTGAGGAGTTTGGATTTTTAGCTATGAAAACCCTTTGGAAGAGGACATTATTCAGAAGCACAGTGCTCGGTGCTCAATCAGAAGCTTGGGAATGTGTCTAGGGGCAAGCAGGAAACTCTCAACTCTGTATCTTTCACCCCTTTATTTCCTGACCCTTTCTCCTGCTGCAGCACTAGATGCTGAGTGAGTCGGTCCCTCCTTCAGGAGCATCAGGGCAGCCCAGCAAAGTGGCAGGGTCACAGCAAGGGTTCACAGGCTACAGGGAACCTGTCTGGCCTGTCCCCTCTCAGATACACTGAAGTCCAGTCCACGCTCATTAATGGTACCAGGTACCAGCCTGGTCGTCAGCCTGCTGGAGAGTTTGGGGGAAACCCTGAAGTCCGTTTGCAAAACCTGTGTGCAGATGAGCAACAGTCAGCCGAGTCAGTGACAGGGTGGAGGATGCACACAGTGGGTGTGCAGGCCTGGGAGGGAGAAATGAGAGTCACGTGGTGAAACAGATTCACGGGATTCTTCAGTGGGCCAGTTTTCATTGCCATAGACCTGAGTTTGATCGCTGGTCGGGAACTAAGATCCCACAAGCCTCAGGGTGTGGCTCCCCACCCCACCCCACCCCCCCAGAAATAAGAAACAAAGGGATTTTTTTTTTTTAAGTCCTTCTCTGAATGGCGCTTGCCCAAGCATGGTCCCTCACCAACGGTCCCTCACTTGCCGCCCCCAGGGGCCTGCGAAGCTTCCTTGGCGTGCTCCACCTGCCACGTGTATGTGAGTGAGGACCACCTGGACCTTCTGCCGCCTCCTGATGAGAGGTGAGCAGGGTGGCCCCCTCCCAGCTCTGAGCTGCAAGGCTTGGTTGCTGAGCCTCGGCATTCCGGAATCCGCCCAGGCCATAGCAGAGGGCAGCCCCAGCTTTTCTCTCCCCTCAAGCTGCTGGCGGGAGAGCTTCCCTTCTGGCCCCTACCCCTGGACCCATTAACAACTTGCTACCGCCCTTTACCCCAGGGAGGACGACATGCTGGATATGGCCCCCCTCCTCCAAGAGAACTCCCGGCTGGGCTGCCAGATCGTGCTGACGCCTGAACTAGAAGGGGCCGAATTCACCCTGCCCAAGATCACCAGAAACTTCTATGTGGATGGCCACGTCCCCAAGCCCCACTGACACGGGCAGCTGGACGGTCCCAGGCACTGACGGCCCCAGGGCCAGGACTGGAAGAACATAGCCAAGATGCCAGCCCAGCCCAGAGCGCGGACAGATCCGAGAGAGATGCCGGAAGCACCCAGAAAGTCAAAGCCCTGGCTTCAGAGAGATCCCATGTCCCAGCTCTGGTGGGGCCAGGTCCCCTATTGGGGCCGCCTCAACCAAGCTCCTGAAAATGGCGGTGTGGATAGGGGTGGAATCTATTTGGAGTGATAATAAAACTGTCTCACAGATAACCTAGCATCTTGAGCGTCCTTGGGGCTGGTGGGAGTGGGGTGCAGGCTCTGGGGTCTACAGCTGCATCTTCCAGACCTCCCCAGCTTTCCCCTACCACGGCGGTGATGGGCCAGCGGGAAACTGAGGCAGAGATGTCTGAAGACGAGGTTCCGGGAGCCAGAGGATCAGCCTGGCAAGGCCCCGCCCCGCCGTCGCGGAGGGATTTGGAGGGCCCAGGCCGCCCTTGGCTACAAGGGGTAATCAGGTAGTCTGAGCAGAGTCGGAAGGGAGCGAGGGACCCAGGCGGGCCTGAGGGTGGAGTCTTGAAAGCCCGTGCCCAACATCGCCCGCTAGAGGCGCCCAATCCTACTGGCCAGCCCTGCCCCCGCTCCCCCAGGTGGAGCCTCTTGCACCCTCGGCCAGAAGCGGACCCCCCCACGCAGGTGGGGCTCATCAAGTGGGCCCGGTGTGGGCGGGGCCAGGCGACATTTGGGAAGCGGGGCTGGGCCAGGAGGCAATGGAGGCCGAGCCAGCCCCGGACTTCGCCATGCTGCGAGAGCTGCTAGCGCCGCCCTATCTGAACTCTGAGCCGCCCCAGGAACCCCCGATCCAGCAGACACCAAGGACCCCAGGATGCCTCAGACCCAGCGGCAGGTGCGTTCACGAGCAGCCCTTCCCCCAACCTGGCCCAGTGGTCAATGGGTCGTGATCTCTGGTTCCTGGGGTTACTCAGGGGTCAAAATGTTAGTTACTGGTACTTGCAAGGACGAGATCCTGATCCCCAGGGATATTGGGGGTCATATGGGGGTCAGAGACTGTGCAGTTCTTGCTCCGTGTCTTTGAGACCCCTGTAGTTGCCGCCCACGGAAGGGGGTGACCACACTGGCCATTGTCCCCAGGTCCTTCTGGCCTGCACACCAAGACTCCGTCACCGCCCTGCCTTTCCTCCAAGAGACAACAGAGGAGCTAGCCGAGACCCCCGGGGACACCCAGGCCCTAGGGCCCTACTGGGAGCCGAAGGCCCTGGAGATCCCGGGACCCCTACCTCTAGCCAAGGATGCCAAGAACATGCTGACCCCAGCCAACCAGCAGAGCCCCAACCTGGGGCCCCCACGGGCTCCCCCGACTCCTCCAGCCCAACCACAGAGGAGGCCCCGGAAGCAATCAAACCCCCAGCGGAGCGCCGAAAAAGTGGACCCTCTCTTTGAGGGGGTGACCCTGAAGTTTCAGATAAAGCCGGATTCCAGCCTACAGATTATACCCAGTTACAGGTAGGAGCTGGCCTGGGCAAGGGCAACCCTTTATGCAAGTAATAATAATAGCAGTGGGCCTTCCCTGGTGGCTCAGTGGTAAAGAATCCACCTGCCAATGCAGGAGATGCGGGTTTGATCCCTGGGTGGGGAAGATCCCCTGGAGAAGGAAATAGCAACCTGCTCCTGTATTCTTGCCTGGGAAATTCCATGGATAGAGGAGCCTGGCAGGCTACAGTCCATGGGGTCAAGGAGAGTTGGAGGCGAATCAGCAACTGAACAATAATAATAGTGCTGGGGGGCGGGGAGGTGCTCCCAGGTGGGAGCATTTGCATTACAAATGGCCTCATCTCTGTAACTGCCTTTCTTCTTTTATTATTTATTTATATTTTTAAAAAACTTTGTTTGGGATGTGGGATCTTAGTTCCCTGACCAGGAGTGGAACACTCGCCCCTGAATTGGATGCACAGAGTCTTAACCACTGGACTGCCAGGGGAGTCCAAACAGCCTCATCTCTGAGCAAAACCTCAGGCCGATGCCAGTTCCTATCCTTTCTGCTATGAGTCAGTCAAGTCCAGGACTGAGCCCGAGTCTTCTCCTAGTGAAATGGCCTCACTATACCCGGGGGCTGCTGCTTCTGTTAGTTTTTCCTGCAATGCTAATAGCTACCATTTGTCAGACTTGACACCAGCCATGGAGGCAACAGCACTTGGTGTGTATGGACTCGCTGAGGCCTTGTGAAGCCCACTTTACAGATGCAGAAACTGAGGCACAGAGGATGAGATCCCTTGTCACACAGCAAGGACACGGGAGAATTGAGTTTTCAACCTGGCAAAGCTGGCCATAGGCTTACTGTCTTCTCAAATGATTATAATTACTCATGAGGGGCAAGGCCAGGCCTTTCAGACATCGGATGCCCCCTTGGTCCCAGGGGTGGGGGGAGCAGTGCCAGATGCCTTGATAGTAAATCTTCATTTGGGGGGATTCCCTGGCAGTCCTGTGGCTAAGATTCCGCACTTTCACTGCTGAAGGCGTGGGTTCTATCCTGGTTGGGGAACTAAGATCCCACAAGCCGTGGTGTGGCCTAAAACGAAATAAATAAATATAATTTAAAAATCTTAATTTGGGGGCTGTCTGGGGCAGGATCCAAACCGTCTGTGCTAATGCCCTCTCTACTCCCCAGCCTGGCCTGCAGCAGCCGTTCTCCAGAGCCTCCTGCTCCAGGCCCTGCCAGAGGCCCAGAGGCCAACCCGGGAGGCAGCGAGGCCCTGGGTGAGTCCTGGAGACTTAAGTGCTATAAATACTGGGGAAGGGTGCAGGGGGCAGCATTTTCTTCTCTTCCTTATCTTTCTCCCTATCCTGCTTCCCTATTTAGACCCATCCAGGAGGAGTCCCAGCATCCCCCATCCACTCAAGCTGAGTCACCCCCACCCCCGGCTTCCTCCTCTGCTGAGCTTTGCCATCTGTCTCCCTTCCTGGCGTTCCCTCTGTCTTAGATCTGGGGCTGGCTGGGAGTTGGGGCGGGGGAGCGCCTTCACAGAGAGCCCCCTCTCACCCACACATGCACAAAAGGCCCATCCCACACAGGTCTCCTGAGCTCAGGCTCTTGGCCTCTGACCCCCCTCCCTTTGACCTCCTCCCTTTCAGGACCCCGCCGCTGTGCTTCCTGTAGGACCGAGAGGACCCCTCTATGGAGAGATGCTGAAGATGGTACCCCTCTCTGCAACGCTTGTGGTATCAGGTCCTCAAAAGGAAGGAGGGATTGGGGGTGGGGTCCTCACTTGAGTCCTTGCTTAGTCAGCATGGGGTATTGGGAAAACACCCACCTCTGGGAATGTGCCTCCCTCGTGGCAGTTTCTGGGCTCCCCCTGCCTGCTGAATGTCTGTTTCTTGCACCCCCGTCCCAGGTACAAGAAATATGGCACCCGGTGCTCCAGCTGCTGGCTGGTGCCCAGGAAAAATGTGCAGCCCAAGAAGCTATGTGGCAGATGTGGGGTGTCCCTGGGCCCCCACTCAGCCTCAGCTCAGGAAGGGTAAGCCCTTCCTCACCCAGCCAAGCCTGTCCTGCCTGTTTCTCCAGGGGGAAAATAGGCTGAATTCCTCCTAGGGGAAAAAGCCTGAGTCTTCAGGGGTCCAGCCTACCTCCTCTCCACCCCCTCCCCGTGCAGAGACCTCAGATGGAAGACCCAGGCCTCAAGGCCCCCGAGCTCCTGGTTCAGGGAGCCACTAGCCCCCTCTCTGGCTCCTGCTTCAATCAGGCTTGGCTGAGCACCCCCTCAGGAAGTGCTGTCAACAGTGACACTCATATTGTTAATAGAAGTGACAATAAAGAATAGATCTGTTCAGAAGGGGCACTCTAACTTTGGGATCCCACCTTGCGCGCCCTCACCTGCCTCTCCCCTGGCCCAGGAATGTGGGGGAGGGGTTTTTTCACGGGGTTTTCCAAGGGACACACAGTCATCTAAACAGCTCCTTCCCCACCAATTAGTCACCTTTGTTACAACATCCCATAGAGGGCAACTGCCAGCACACACAGAGGCAGCACATTCAGGAAGACAGACACAAGGACTTCCCTGGCAGTCCAGCGGTTAAAACTCTGTGCCCCCCAGGCAGGAGGCAAGGGTTCAGTCCCTGGCCAGGGAACTAAGATCCTGCATGCTATGCAGTGCAACCAAAACTTAAAAAAGAAAAATTTTTTTTAAAGACCCAAGACAGACACACAAGCTGAAAGGTACATCAAAACACACAGGAGATACATCAGGAGACACAGGCATGCTGTCGATCATCAGACACAGACCACACACAGGACAGAACAACACTTGTCTACCGAGAGACATGTATGTTGATAAGACACAGGACACACATGCGCAGCACAGACACACATGAAAGACACATAGATGGCACGTGGACACAAGTGGGCCCTTCATCTGGCACCTCCACCCCCGCCTGCAGAATGTCCCCTTCTGCCTCCTTCCATAGACCTGTGTTCTCCTTCCCCTTTCATGTTCTCTCTGACCCCACCAACGGGTATCCCCAACCTGAAGCCAAAAGCCACATGGGAGAGACATTGAGCTCTGCCACTGTTGCTAGGACATACAGGCCACCGCTACTCAGAGAAGGGGAGGAGGGAGGGAAGAAAGGAGGGAGGGACGGAGGGAGGGGAGTGTCAAGGATGGGCGGGATGGTCCCTGCTGTGGGGGGTGTGAGTGAGGCCTGTTTGACCTCAGAGGGAAGATAAGCCCCTCTGAGACCCCCTTTGTCTCTCCTGACTGAGCCTGTGGAGACGGCCTGGGGTCAGATTCCTCAGCCTTCAGATCCCTGACTCATCCCATCCTGCCTTTCCTCGGCTCAGAACGCCCTCCTGCACCTTCTCCTGTAGCTGCTACCTTCTTCTTTGCGGGGTGGGGGGGGAGTGTGCTCTGCGGGGACACCACATCTTCTGAGAAGCCTTCCTTGACCATCCAGCCTAAAAGGGAAACCCCTCCCACCCCACATCAGGCTCTAGTTCAGCCTCTTAGAACTCATTTCCTCTTAGAACCTATGGAGATTCTAAGACGTTCAGGAGTTTCACATCTCAGGACTTGCCTGGCAGTCCAGTGGTTAGGACTCTGTGTTTCCACTGCAGGGGATACAGGTTCAATCCCTGGTTGGGGAACAAAGATCCCCCAAGCCATGTGGTATGGCCAAAAATAATTAAAAATTTTAATTAAATGTTTCACTTCGGTACTGATCCAGGGTTGTTTCATTCACATTCATCTCCCCTACTGGACCATGACTTCAGAGGCCCAAGTGCACCACCTCTGTGTTCTTGACCATGAGTTCCCCACCCCACCACCAGTGTCCAGCATGGAGAAGCTCTTGAGGGATAGATACAGCACACAAGGGTCTCAGATTGTGTGTCTCCAAACCCCTGGCTGTTGGTATCCACTAAGTCAATGTTTCTTGAGCAAGTATTGTGTGCCAGGCCCCCATGGGGCACTCAGTTGGGAATAGAACAAGGATCCCTGCTCTAGCAAAGCCAGTATTCTAGAATGATAGTAAGCAAATATTCAGTGAGGATTAATAGGATGTCAAGTACTGATCATGCTACAGAGAAAAAGTGGAACTTCCCTGGTGGTCCAGTGATTAAGGCTCTGCGCTTCCAATGCAGGGGGGCCTGAGTTTGATCCTTAATCAGGAAACTAGATCCCACCTGCTGCAACTAAGATCTGGCACAGCCAAATTAAAAAACAAAAAAATAATTAGAAAAAGAGGGCTTCCCTGGTGGCTCAGGAGTAAAGGATTCTCACCTGCCAATGAAGGAGAAACAGGTTCAATCTCTGACCTGGGAAGGTCCCACGTGCTGTGGAGTAACTAAGCCCATGGGCCACAACTACTGAGCCTGTGCTCTAGACTCCAGGAGTCGCAGCAACAGAAGCCTGCCCTGTGCTCAGAAACAGTAAGGTGCATGCATGCTAAGTCGCTTCAATCATCTCTGACTCTTTGTGACCCCATGGACTGTATAGCCCAACAGATGCCTCTGTCCATGGGATTCTCCAGGTAAAGAATACTGAAGTGGGTTGCCACACCCTCCTTGAGAGGATCTACCGGACTCGGGGATCGAACCCGTGTCTCCTGTGGCTGCTGCATTGCAGGCAGATTCTTTACCACTGAGTCACAAGGAAAGACCCCGAAATAAGGTCACAGACAACAACAAAGAGTAACCATGCTCGCTGCAACTGGAGAAAGCCGGGGCAAAGCAACCAAGACCCAGCCCAGCCATAAAGAAAGAAAGAATAAGAAAATAAAGTACATAAGGAGGTGAGGAGTTGGGGATGATATCATGTTCTCAGGGAAGGCCTCTCTGAGCAGGTGACCTTTGCGTGTAGAGATCTGATGGTGAGGAACCAGCTACGGGGACTATTTGAGGTGAGGACACCTGAGGCAGAGGCAATAGCACGAGCAAAAGCCCTGTGGCAGGGAGGACTCTGTGGGCCTCCAGAAACCTTGACTCGGGTGAGGGCAGAGAGAGGTGAATGGGGGTGGGGGTCCAGCAGGGACTGCAGCTCGCTTCGGCCTTGTTGCCTGGCATACCTGGCACCCAGCACTGGCGTGGCCTCTGGTGCCCCCATTTCCTGCTTTCACCTTTTCTCCTGAAATGTTGGGGTGGAGGGGCCAGCCTGTGGCGCTGGAGCTGTCCAGGCCTGCTTCCTTCTGGCAGCTCTGTGTTCCTGCCTCTGAGGGAGGAGGAAACTGGGGGCAGCGGAGGCACAGCTGCTCTCTCCTGCTGCTGCGGAGGGTGAGGGGGATGGCTGGTGGTGTACTGTGGGGGATGGGGCATGCGGCTGATACCCTCTGTGTCTCTTCTGAATCATGATGGCTAAGTTGATGAAAGGCACATTGGGGAACATCCCAGTGGTCCAGTGCTTAAGACTCTGCCTTCCAATGCAGAAGGTGTGGGTTTGATCCCTGGTCGGGGGAGCTAAGATCCCACCTACTGTAGGTGCAGCCAATAAGTAAAAAATAAAATACTGAAAGACAGGTTAGGGGTAAACTCCATTATGGATGGCACAGGATGGAGGAAGCCTTGAGGGTGGAGCAGCGGTGGACTCTTGTAATAGGAGGGACATCCCAGAGGCTGACACTCATAGACAGAGCCTTATTTACCCATCCCTGCAGGACCTCGGGGCTGGCGATGCCTAGACCCCTGGGAAGGGCCTCCACCCATCCAAGGAAGGCAGGCTCAGCTCTGCTCGGAACCGGGCCTGGGGGGAAGCTCCTGTAGCTCCCACCCCCAAACATCAGCCGGATTAGAAGGCAGCGCTGGGCGGAAGAGATAAGCGGCTGAAAGAGAGGAAGGAGCAAGGTCCCCACCCTGGCCCAAGGGTCCAGGGAGGGCAGGAAACAGGACATGGAGAGCAAACTCCAGGTCTAGTTGTGAAAAGGTGGCTTGGACCATGCCTCACATGTAGTAGGTCCTCAAAAGCCAAAGGGTTTTTTTGAATCAGTAACCGGCAGGGCTGGGATTCGAACCCTGGATTGCTTCCCCATCGCAGACTGAAGCAGAAGGAGCCTGAGTCCTTTATAAAAATTTTATTGGGGGAGGGGGTAGAAAATGCAGGGTGACGCCCCTGGAATTGAATACATAAATAAATAAATAGAACAATAAATCAGCCCCCGTGCGAGTCTGGGGGGGCGTCCCCCGGCCCGCGGGGAGATGGCTGCGGGCTCACGCTGACGTCAGCTGGATGGCGAAGACCTCGCCCCCTGCCGGCACCTCCGAGGTACCCGCAGCCTCTGTTCCACCTTCAGCACCTGCGTCCCTGCCGGCGCTGGCACCTGCGCCGTTGAGACACACGGCCTCGCCTGAGCTCTCGGCCTCCTGCACGTTATACTCGCCCTTCTTGCAGGCGGTGGACTGCACATAGAAAGCCAGGCCGGCCCCCGCGGCCAGGAGTGCCGCGCCCCCGGCCGCGCCGCCCACAGCGACCCAGAGCCACGGACCTGCGGAGTGGAGACGCTCAAAGAGGATGATGAGCTCCGGGCTCGGTCCACACGCCAAGCCCGGGCCACTTCCGTCCCCTCCCCACAGGCATGAAGTCAGTCCTCATGCGCCTGGCAGGGAGCATCAGGTAACTCAGCCTTGGAGGAAAAGAGTGACCCCAGTAAGGCCACCCCCAACTCGGGTGATGCCCTTGACCCATTTTACACACCACCCCATCACAGGGAGGATATAAGCCCCTAACCCCAGGGATACCAAGCCAACCAACTCTCCTCACCCTCAAAACGATGGGGAGGGTGACCTGGTCATTCCTACTCCCCAAAGACCCCAGCCCCTAGGGATTTCCCCAGCGGTTGAGACTCCGCGTTTTAACTGCAGGGGGCGCAGTTTCCATCCCTGGTCAGGGAACTAAGATCTCACATGATAAAAAAAAAAGTTAAACAAACAAAAAAAAAAACCAATCCCAACTAGAGATACACTAAATGAGAGTGGGGATCTTAGGGCCCTCACCCCGATCCTCTTCTCTCGGTCCCTCTTTAACCCCCTTCTCCACAGA